TTTTTTTTTTTTTTTTGGTCGAATCTTGTCGTTTCTTGTCACCTGCCAGAGTGAACATCCTTTAATAGTTCATTCTCTGCAGATACTTCAGCCAGTTTTGCTCTTTGGAACTTCTTAAACTAGAGCTGTTCTTTTTCCTTGGTTTCCATTTTTGGTCTTATTTGGCATTTCCATTTCCTCCCATACTTTTCTCACTTTCCTGTTATCTAATAGATTCTCCTGCCATCAACACTTAGAGCACCCACATCCGGTGTTACAACTGCTGGAGCTTGCCTCTCCCAGATAGGCAGATGTTAATTTTCCCATGATCTCTCTCTAGAAATCTTCAATATACACATAGGCCTTGTCACTTCTTGAAGTTGAGAAAAAAGCCTGTTAAACCTTTTGTTAAGAGCGATATTTAACATGACTGTCAGTCGTCACCCTAAAGGTGTGGAATTATTTAATTAAAAGATCAGACGGTGTTGGCTCAGTTGCTGTTGAGGTTTTGACAAACACTTGGTAATGATGTATTAGTAGATTTGTCTCAACTATTGCAAGAGACGAGGTGCAGATATTTACGAGTGAAGGAGTTATTGATTTGCCAGAATCACACATCTCTTTCTTTCATATGTTCCTTTGCTCTTCTTGTCTCACTTTGGTCTCTTTTTTCCCATCACAGTCGTATTTATAATAAAACTGGTAACACTTAAGTATAGGGAGCAATTATCACCATTAACTAGTTGCTCATTAGCATGCCTATAATAAACATATTCGCTGTTTATTAGTACAGTACTTATAAAGCACATATTCTGCATGACCATATCATACATCCCTAATTCTACCCAATACCTAAACTTAACAACTACCTTACTAACTATTAATAAGCAGAAAATTAGGAGTTTGAAGCAAAAGTCATAGTTAATGGTTCGTTAATAGCGAGAATTGGACCTTAAAATAAAGTGTGACCGTAAAACTGCAATTAAAACTTCACTCCAACCAACAAAACGCTCTTTCTGGAATTACACACGTGTCTCTGAGAAAAAAAAAAGAAAATAAATGTATATATATATATATATAGACCTCCTTTTATTCATTCCTTATTATTCATTCATTCAAGACATTACCGACACTTTGAGGGACGGGTTGAGCTGTTTCAGCAACCATATATGACAAATCTCTCCTCCCTCAATTGCATTTGTGGTTTTCGCCACACAAGCCCTCTGTAGCCGGGCAGTGCTCACAACCTGCTCTTGGTATGTCGTGATGTCATGTCCTCCTGTCAAGGAAGGCCCCCTTGCAAGGGGACAGATGGTTCCGCTTGGACCAATGGGAGTAGCCTAGTCCAGCCAGCAGGAGCAAGGCAGTGGGACACCAGCACGTTTATTGGCTCCATGTTCTGCTTGATGCATCCTTTGCTCATTTTCATTGTCTCTCTTCCATGCTTATATCTGCCAAAGATACTAAATTCCTTTTTACCTCTGGCTTGTAATACTTACTACTTGTTTTTGCAAAACTGTGACCACACCATAGAGCTGATCTTACCGAAATAAAATGAAAAACATCATAACCTGTAGATGTACATACTAATTTAACCCAATAGTCAGTTGGTTTTGAACGATTTGCACTGTATAAACACGAACCAGAATTTGAAGAGTGCTGTCCAAAAAATTCCTCTTTGGCTGTTGAAGTGCTCTGTAGATCACTCCTCAGCTTGACTGGTGGCAATAGCAATAGCTTACACTCCCATCACACACTGATTCTCACCAGTAACAAGCTTATGTTTGTCAACCCACTAGAGCAGAAGCTTTTTATAGGAGCCGGTGCTCACCTCCCACCACTATCATTATCCGCATCTCTCAAGCTTGTCATCTCATGTAGTGACAGCTCATATCTGTTCCCCTTGTTTGCAAAACACTGCCAGTCAGCAAACCAGCTGTCTTATTCGCACATTACCTGTACTTGTGTGTGTGAAAGCTTATGGCAAAGTAAATGTTCCTCTAAGGTGCTTGCCGATAAACTGGCAGAGAACCACTTAGCATATCAGATACTTCAATATGCCAATTTATTAATATTGCACTGAGTTGCTGTTTACTTTTGAGCATTACTTCATATGTGGACATTTAAAAACCAGTTATGTTTTGAAGAGAGTGCTTTATGGTGGTTTACAGAGGCTCTTAAGAAGGCATTTGTTGTCAAAAACAAGCACATATGTTTGAAAGGATCCAAGGAGGCTGAAATTATCCCATATCAGGTGAAAGGTGTGGAGGCTGATGGACATTGAGTCAACCAGACCCTTGTCCAGAACAGGCAGATCAATGCTGAATAACAAGAGACCCCGTGACATTATTGACTTGCCGAGCAGGCTGCTGCATATTGTTGTCGATCAATGCTCAGATACGACCCAGTGTCATTTGAGCCAAGGAGACCTGTGACTTGAGAAGGAAAGGGAGAGAGTGCCGCCCCACCTCTAGCATCTTGTGTAATCCTCTGAAGTCAGAATGAGGAATCCAGTATCCAGCTCCATGCAGATGCAGAATGCATCTTTCATTCCTTGCTGAAAATTTACATTTTATTAATTTGACTGATGCTTTCATTCACAGTGACTTACAGGTACAGGCATATATTTATCAGTATGTGTGCTCCCTGGGTATCAACACATGACTTCTTGGTGTTTCTAGCACTATGCTCCATTGGAGCCACAGGGACATCAACTGTATTATTATTAATACCAATTCTGTTCTAACTGTTTCATACACAAGTTGAACATTTTCTACTTCCCTTGTTTGTGTGCTGTTATTGCTGCAATTTTGTGAATTTGTAATGTAAAAACACACAAGAGGGAGACAGTGCGAGTAGTTTAGTCAATTATTCGCTTTATTTTCAATTCTAAACCTCCTAAAATGCAGTGACTGATTGACGTGACAGCCACAAATTACTTGATAAAGGTAATTTATATATGTATTTTATTTTATTTTATTTTTTGTTTTTACCACCATAGACATCAGTGTCTAGATATAATTAGAATTTGTTTCCAAATTCTCATGTTAGTAGTAGTAATAGTAGTCTGATAAGTGCAGTGACAGCAATGAATTGTTGTGCCATAAAAAAAAATGGCCACAATTTACGTGGTAAAGTTTATTTATTTATCTATTTGTTGTTATCAACATAGATATCCATCTGTAGATACAGTTTGATTACTATTATTAAATGTTTGTAACATTAACAATGATGGTTTCATAAATGATGCTTCTGTAGCCCAAATCATGCAACCTTATAATGTCTCTAATAGTATATTATAATGGCTGTAACATGAGCATGACACCTCAAACATTTGTACGTTGCAGACAACTGACCTCTAATAAAAACCACACTCTCCCTGTTGGGTCTGCTATTCCTCAGCCATTGCTCTTTGCTCCTCGCTCCTGTCAGCGGGCACAAAATCAAGCACAGGCATGATGTCCACATGGACACTAGTAATCCATTAGTCCATGCTGAGCATCTGAACGCTCCCTCCTCTCAACGTAATCTTTAGCATCAAAGCCATATACCCCAATGAGCTCAGGTATGGACGTACTGAGTCAGTGGTACTATTATCGGAGCCCCTTACAGTGATCATGTTTGAATTATGGTGTCAGTGAGCACTAAGCCATCTGTTGGTTGCCTGTGATAATACAGCAGATGAACTTGCTGTTATTAGAGGGCATATGATCACTAGTAAGGGAACAGAACTGCAATATACCCACAAAGGGATCCAAATTACTCTTGAACTTTGCCAGTCCATCAGTTCAAACAACCCCTGGTGGCAAAGTCAGCTCTGGTTCTTGCGGGTCTCCATTCAAAACGTCACATTGTTATAGAAACAAGGCCTCTCTTGCTGAAGTGATGCTAGTTCAAATTTACCCCTGCGGCACTCTGTGGTATCAAGCTTCAAACAAGGTGCCTCAAAAGACTGAACAGATTTCTCTCTCTCTCTCATTCTCACTCTCTCTCTCTCCCTCTCCCCTCCTTCTTTTTGTCCTCTCATCTTTCCCTTGCAGTCCATTGATCCAGGCCAGCAGTTCACATGGGAGAACTCCAACTTAGAGGTCAACAAGCCAAAGAACCGTTATGCCAACGTTATTGCTTACGACCACTCGAGAGTTGTTCTCACCCCCGTGGACGGTAAAAGTCAAACAAATGTGTTGACCTTTAACATTTCATTATGGCGACAGATGTGTGTATGTTTAGAGGAAACATGCAGTTAGCACAAATACTGGCATTAAGTGGGCCACCAGTGAATTGTTTTCTTTCTCTATAGGTGTTCCAGGCAGCGATTACATCAATGCCAACTACACAGACGGCTACCGTAAGCAGAATGCCTACATTGCCACGCAGGGCCCTCTGCCTGAGACTCTGAGCGACTTCTGGAGGATGGTTTGGGAGCAGAGAGCCAGTACCATCGTCATGATGACCAGACTGGAAGAGAAGACCAGGGTGAGTACCAGGGGCATAGAGAAGTCAAGACCCAGTATTAAACATCAGCTAAGTTCAAAATGAATAATAATGTGATTGAACTTTCAATCAGTAGTTCCCTCTCCTATTTATAATAATTTTAATTTATTTTTATGTGATGTTTATCTTTATTTATAGTATTTAATGGCACTAAATTTTATATGGAAATATAATATTATTGAATGAGTTTTATTTCATATATGAATTATAATATTTACTAAACAATTTGAAATGTAAATTCATATATGATTTATAATATTTACTAAATAGTTTAAAATTATTTTTTAAAAATGTATTCATACAATATATTCACAAATGAAAATTAATTTAAAAGAGCAATATTTTAAAATATTATTACAATTTAAAATTGTAAGTTTTCTGTTTGAATATACTTTAAAATGTAATTATTTCCTGAGATGGCAAAGCTGAATTTTCAGCAGCCATTACTCAGATTCTTTGATGAACAAAGTTCAGGAGAACAGTAAAACAGTAAATGTAATGTAAAAATGTCTTCTTACATAGTAAAGGCATAATTTTATAAAATATTTCTGTCACTTTTGATAGTCCTTGCCAAATAAAATTATTAATTTCTTGAAAAAAAAAAACTGTTGATGATAGTGTAAGTACAGAGTACATAAAACTTTATGTACAAAGAGCAGACTTTCTTCGCCCTGAGGTTCCCTCCAAAATAGTAGTATGGGTTCACATACTACATCACGTAATACAATGGTTCACAACTCTCTTTGTGCTATAAAACATCCATCTGTGCTTGACACTAAAGGGACCTGCATTTCTATGAGTCCAATCACTATGTGGGCTTTTAGTGCGCCATTGTGCCGAGTACAGCAACAGGCCAGTGGCACCCAGGGTTGGTGAGAAAGCGAGTCCGTCGACTACTCTTCTGTTCAGCTCAAATGTCATGTCTGACAGTAGATAACCTGTAATTCCTCCCCCTGGTGAATGCGTGCACTCAGGTTTTTGTTGATGGATGGGAGGTCAGATGGGAGCTAAAGGCTTATAGAGAATGAGACATGTGCTGGCAGAGCTAGCGTGGTAAATGAGTGGGTTTTGGCAAGGCTGTGCACCTATAAAGCATTGCTTCATAGGTAAAGGGCGTCCCCAAGCCCTGTGATGAAAACCTCCAGCAGAGACAGAACAACTGGCCTAGTTTCACTGCTGACAGGACCTACCTTGAAGAAGAAATGACCGCTACGTCATTTTTAGTTGGTCTTTGCCTGGAGTAGATGATTGAATGCTATACAAAACACACCATTTAGGGACATTTCTACCGCTTTTGTCTAATTTAAAATAATATTTGAGTGCACTTTGTTGTTCATAGGAGTTGTCCTCAATTCAAAAATAAGCTTTGACCTTTGTGAATTATTTGGTACAGGTGGCACACACCTCTGCCATAACTCACTAATACTATAATGAAATTATACAATACAATACTATAAAGAAACTAGTTAAATATTCACCATTCAAATGTGAATAGTGTATGCTTGTGTAAAGCTGTATAAATATAATCCCTAGTAATAGGTACACTTGCATTAGAAAGCAGTACAGTTGGCTGATATATTAAATATTCACAGTATATTCACAATAATTTTGTTGGAGATATAAAAAATTTTAATATAATTTTTAATATTATTAATATAATTATTAATGTATTTTTATATTTTTAAGTTATATTGACATTATTATAATTGATGACAATTATTATTACGACAGTCTTGCAATTAAGTACGAGTGTAAATATAGAGATTTTTTTTTTTAAGAAAGTCGGGCTACGGTGTATTTGATCAAAAATACATTAAAATAGTACTATTGTGAAAAAAAAAAGTTTCATGTTGTGGTATTTTAAAATATAATTTATCCTTGTGCTGACAAAGTTGTTAGCAGCCATTACTCCAGTCTTCAGTGTCACATGATCCTTCAGAAATAATTTGAATATGCTGATGTGATGCTTAAAAAACCAACAGTTGTGCTTAATAATTTTGTGGAAACCTTAGCACAAATATTGAAACCTCATAAGTCTGTAAAATATGGAATTTATATATATATATATATATATATATGGGGCTGGGCGATATGGCCAAAAAATGATCTCGATTTTTTTTTTCATATCAGTCGATAGTGATAATTATCACGAACGATAGATGTAACATTTTTATTTCTTTCAAGTTTAAAGGCAGATTTTTGCTCCAATGTGAAAGTTGTAAAAACCAGATGGTTAATTGTGGTTTTCAACTATTCTTTATGGTCAGAACATGACAAACACTTCGTTTTTGAATTCTTTACACTTCTCCAGTCATTTTTCCTTAACAAAATAAATATCTTAATAGAAAAAAATAATTTCTTAGTTCTGCATGTTCTAGTAATGAGTAATATTGTTTCAAATCAAGAAACAAGTTTGTGTTGCCTGATAATATTAATTATATTTTAATTAACATTTAATTAACATTTTTTGTCTTTTTAGAAATACACATTTGATAGTAGCTTGAGTTAGGATGCAGATGTAGATTTATGTTCATTATCAAA